CTCTCTCATTTTTTTTTTCTTACTCTCCTTCTTACTTGTTCATGTCATCCTGTCACTGACTCACCGCTGCATCAAGCGCTTATATGCTCTTCTCTTACCTTTCTAACAGGAGAAGAAGATGAAAATAGAGCACATGGAACAACAAAGGAACAAATTGCTTGTAGACAAGAGTGCCCCAGATTTGAATGGCATGTTATGCTCTCTTTGTGAAAAATCACACTTTGAGTTTGGCAGTTTGGGATTACCATCCTGCTCGAACCTTAATAGGGGCATGATGCTCTATGTTATTTTCTAAAATATGCTGGTAATTCCAGTGTATCAGCTACAGTCACTAGTAACGCTGGGTCTGCAGCCATATAACTGACCATTTGTTCATAGTGAACCTCAGTATTTCATTTTATATTTTGACCCCTCACAGTGTTTTATCATTCCTTTTAATCTATGACTGAGTTTTAGATGTTTTACTCTTATGCTCTTCTCATGTTCCAGTGAGCTAATTTCCCACTTTGATAGACAATAAAGCTTTTTCTGTTTTTTTATTTTGTACTAAACGTGGAAATATTGTAAAAACACACCATCCTCCTTAAACAAATGTCTGCCCCATAGAGTTCAGTGCTACATTGTCGCTGCACAACATTTGAGAGGTTCCAAAAGCATAAAACCATTTGAATGCATTTTAATTGGGAGTATGAATCCTTCAAATTCTTATGACATTTGTGTGTTTCTGCTTCTTGCTGATGTTGTTCTTTCTGTTTTTGAGTGTCATGTTATGGAGATAAGTGTGTTGGAGAGAGCCCGAATAAACTGAGCTAAGACCTTCACTTTCAGCTGACTGGCTCGCTCTTCCCTCAACACTTTTAGCATGAACCTGACCTCTCTCATTCTTTTTTGCTTTAGGCTGTACATCAATGTCCTGCTTGTGTGGTTTATTCCCTTATTTGATGCAAGTAGTCTCTGGTGAATCAGTAAAAATGATTACAACATAGAAGTTGTTTTAACCTGAAATGTGGGGTTTCTTTTTCCAACGTAGGAAGTAAAAGCTAAGTGTTGGTTTCTACCATTTGGTTTTTGAGTGTAAATCAAGAAATACCACAAGTGTTATTATGAAGATGTACAGTACAGACGTACAGGTAGGGACATTCCCCAGTTGAAGGCATATTTAGGAACTGTTTCCTTACATGAAAATGCAAGATTTTGGGGTGGGGGGTTAGGAAGTGGGTGACCAAATACTTCACCACTGTTTGTCCGGTTGATCTCACAAAGTCATTGTACAGCAATGAACCATCATTTTTGTAGTAAAGCATCTCCAAGATGTTATTTATTGTCACCCCTTGTTCAGAGAGCCTGTCTGCACTGGCAGCCCTGAAGCCAGGATGCTGCAACAGGCAAAGGAGGGAGTCAGCAGCAGAAGTGCCTAATTCATTAACAACGATGGAGCTGCTCGACCAGGCTCTGCTCCTGTGTTTCCAAATCTGTGTGGAAGCCTTTAGTATCCTAGATGTGACTGTGTGTTGTTTAAAGTGTGTGTGTGTGTGTGTTTCCCCACCTAGAACCTGTCAGAACCACATGCTTGCAAGCTGTGCAGGTTCATTTAAACTAAGACTAACTGGACACAGTGGGGGCATGAAGCATATTTAATGATTCTAGGATCATATTGTTGGAAATGATATATGTCCTGAGTAAAAAAAAACAACCTCCAAAGTCAATTCTTCCCCTCCACCCTCCCCTCTCCTCCCTCCCTTTCCATCCTTTTCTGTCTTTCCATCCTTGTCTGTTCTTGGATCAGTAATGGGAGTCGGTATCCAGGAGGAGGCGAAGGGGGTGCGGGGCTCTTCGCCAAGTCCTCGCCCCTCCTCCCCGAATGCGGCACAGCTGCCTTTCAGAACCCCGCCGCTCCAGCCCATTCATCCTGGAGAGCCAAAAAAAAAGTGGCTATTTATTAGAATACTTGTTTTGTATTGTTCTGTGCCACACAAAAGACGCTTCATTATGTTAGAAGCAAACCCCTTTCGCAGAGAGAAACAATAACTTGGAATTGTCTTTTTAGAGTGTATAATAAATGTCATTTCTTCTTGTCTCTGCCTCTCAGTATGTGTTGAGTGCTAGGTTTGGGCACCGGGCATGGATGGCCTTGGCACTCGAGCGGTCAGACTGTAGTGGGAGTAGCGGTCTTGCGTGAAGCTTTGGATGGTTTAGGACGGCTTTAGGAGTATGAAGGGAGAAATCTGCCCACATGGTCTGGAGTAGAGGAAACGAGGGGAACATGGCTAAGTTTGCATATGACAGTTCCGTACGCAAAAAAAAGGTAATGTATGTAAATGCACTAGCAATTAACTTATCAGTTGTGCGTAAAACCTGTTTTTGTCTAAACGCGAAGAGGGAATAATGCCGAAAACTGTGGGGTAAAGCGAACTTAAACGCATTCTGAGCTGAGTGATTGCGTCTACTGAAATAGATGTCTTTAATGGGAACCTTTATTTCGAAGAGTTTGCGTTCTGCTGTGCTCAGTTGACTGCAGATAATGTGTGTACAGTAGCTGCAGGCTGTCGTTGTATTTTAGGACAAGCCAGCTCCACAAGGGCTTGGCTGCACAGGACATAGCTCTATAGCTACCAGTTGCTCGCTAAACGAGTCAGATTTTCTGAAGTGACATTGTCGGTTTCGGACTTCGTAATTATTACCCCTGCCACCTTTATTTGGCTGAATAAAAAATGCTGCATGCTGTAAAATATAGAAATATTTATTAAACTCTGTCTCACGGGGGCACCGTGGATGTCAATAATTGCGCTACATGATTCTCCCCTCTCTTTTTTTTTTAAATTTTTCAGTAGGCGGGGGGAAGCGGGTGGATGTGGTGGGGGACTGAACATCATATCTTTAGATTAGCTCAAAAATAGGTGGTTTCTCTCCGAAGGTAAGTGAAATATTTAAGCCATACAGACCCAATTTCATGTCCAGGTGATCCGTTCGTCCCCCAGCCCCCGCCTTAAATCAGCCCTACCCAGCCCCACGTGTGTCGGCTTGTGCACAAACGTACAGCCATATACACCACAAGTGGAAATTGTTCCGGCTCAGGCTAACTGCTTTAGGAGAAAAGAATAAAGGGGGTAACTCTGACACTAGAGTGTTTTATGCAGGGGAGAAGGAGAAATGAGTGCACAACTGCGAATTAGTCTGGACGCTTGTAGTTTATATATATATATATAATTCTGGGGGGAAGGCGGGTGTGAGAAAAGTGTGTGTGTGTGGGGGGTGGGGGTAACTGTTTTGACCCTTGGCCCCAGTCGTGCACCATCATCGCGGTGCACAGACATCCTGTTGCAGAGGCCGCGCACAAAGGAGCAAGGAGGTTTGAAAAGAGGTTTGTTAAAAGTGAATCATGAGGCATGACCGAGAGAATAAACAGGGACTAACGGGGTCCCAGTGTCATTGTAAAGGCTAATCCTCTCTGTCCACCCCTAACTCCACTCAACAACAACAATAGCAATTATTAGCTATAAAAGTTATATTTTCAAGATTACTCCCGCTTGATTTCTAAATCACTTCATCAGATCGACTTTGCATGTTTAAATGAATTTAGACTCCTTTGATGTCAGTGCTATAAAAACTTACCTTTGACGTTTGAGTCTGAAAAGATACATTTTGGAATAAATATGCCAAACTCCGGTTTATGTTCACAGGTTTGGTTAAAATATTCATCTTTAGTTTCAAATTACAAATATATGCTACATATTGTAATTATTTAAGTGTCCTATGCCATGTGTTTGTATTAATATTTAGCCAATATATTTTATTTTAGTGGGGTTTTTTTCCCCTTATGTTAATTACAACTAGCAAGTGTACAGACAGTATTGTTTATCTTTGTTTTTGTTTGTCTGTTTGCTTTGCGTTCTCTCCGGGTTGTCATCCTTCTCGGGCATTAAGCCATATGGCCTGGACCACTGGAACCGTTTAGTGACCATTGTGATATGCCGTTAACCCTGTTACCAAAGACGCATGGATCTCTCCAGTGATCCCGCTCCCTCAGGGCCCAGGGCTATATCAAACTAAGCTCTAATTAAAATAAAAACAGCGAAGAACGATAGAATGATTAAATCGTTAGTCTCGCCGCGGGAAGTGGTATTTCGTTTTCCCTTTCAATTAGAGGTTGATTGGGCTTTTCAAAGGAGGTCAGCTGTGAAATCTGGATTATATATGCGCGAAGTCGAAGACACGTAGACCGCTTCCCTCGCATGGTTTACAAACTGGCTGCTCGACTGGAAGAGACATAAAGTGTAACAGCCACACAAAAAGTCCAGGCAGAGGAGTTTACATGTTGCTTTTCTTTTTATCTTCAGCTGGGCACAGAGGCATGGCCAGGACTCATTCACCATTACCAGCAGACGGCGATAGCTACCGGCGCGTTGCCCCAGCAATTTATTGCCATTATATGGCTATCCATCTTTGCTTATGGGCTTCTCCTCTTAGACCAGCAGTTTTTTTTAAACCAAATCTCTTTCACGTCATCTTCTCTGGTGAGATTATTACATACTGTAATTTCGTACCTGCAGGGAGAGAGAAAGAAACAGAGGGAGAGAGATACGTCTGGAAAATGGATTTTGAGGCGCCGCTTGAGGATCAAGTTGTCAGAAATTGGTTTGCAATTCCAGTGTATAAATGTACAGTTTGGGCCCAGGCTTCTAGGACGCACAGTTAATGTTGGAAAAAACTGTTAAAGGTAGGAGAGATGTTCTGGCTTTCAAGCACAAACATAAGAGGATGAAAAATAATTTCAGTCAAATTGCTGCTTGATATAGACACTGTTTAAAAGTGATGCTAAAAATTCGGCAACCTATTTTATGTCGAGATGTTTGACTCCTGGTAATCACAGACAGCACCCCCACCCCACCCCACCCCACCTCGTTTGGCCGCTACATCACTTCTAACAAATCTTAGTTATTTTTGTTTAGTTGAAGTCTCTGAGAGTGTGTTTGGAAATTTCAAATGCCTTGTGCTATTTGTGGGATTGATCCTCCTCTCTGCCTCCTCCTTCTCCTCCTCCTCCGGTGTGTTCTTCCTCTATGGTCCTCGAGTCACCTGACCAAACGCCATGCAAATCATTCTGCTGCTACAGCCTCATTGGCCGCTTGTGGCTCATTTAACCGCTGTCAGTGCGCATCATATGGCCGCCGCTTTAACCAACTTCTCATCTCCGACAAGGAAAGTGGCTCAAATGCGCACTCTGTCAGAGTGGATGTGAAGCAACCCAGGCGAAGACAAGGTGAAATACTGCTTGGAAAACATTTTACATTCCTTTTCGGATTATTATTATTATTATTATTATTATTTTTTATCTCGTATTTGAGTCTTCTGGGGTTAAACTATTCATTTTGTAATCCAGCCATCCTGTGCGCAACCGATCTGCGCGCTTGACTTTGCTTGAAATTGACTTTTTCTCTGCTGGCGGTGAAGTTTAAAACCAGGTGAATGTATAGCATGATGATGGAAACTGACCTTCATTCCCCCGGCCCCCAAACGAATACGACCACGGGGCAAACGGGGCCGAATAGTGGGTCCAAAGCGAATCAGGAACGGGTGAAGAGACCGATGAACGCCTTCATGGTGTGGTCCCGTGGACAGCGGAGAAAGATGGCACAGGAGAACCCCAAAATGCACAACTCTGAGATCAGTAAGCGGCTGGGCGCCGAGTGGAAAGTGATGTCCGAGGCTGAGAAGCGCCCTTTCATCGACGAGGCGAAACGTTTGCGAGCCATGCACATGAAGGAGCATCCGGATTACAAGTACCGGCCAAGACGGAAGACCAAGACGCTGCTAAAAAAGGACAAATATTCCCTTGCCAGTGGACTGCTTTCTGGGCCCAGTGGGGGAGGTGGAGTTGCTTTAGGGGTCGGCATGAGTTCATCCGGGGTCGGGCAGAGGTTAGAAAGCCCCGGGGGTCACGGAGGCTCCGCCAGCTCCGGTTACGCGCACCTGAATGGCCGG